TCTTATCTAAAAACAATGATATACAACAGCAACACTCTGAAGACTTTGCTGAGAAAGCTGTCCCATGTAATTTAAAACAAACTGCACTACCCATATCAAGAATCATTTGAGATCACTTCTAGTCAAATGTAATTGATAACATTCATAAAACTGATAGAAAAGTTGGAATTAGGAAGACAGCTACATAGGTCTTTAAATGTGATGACAGAAAAAAAGGCACAGTTCAAAAAATTAACTGTCAGATCACTAGAATAAATTTAGTGTGTAGCCTGATAACTAACAGCATGCTTATTAAATAAGAAGGAATACTACTATTAATCTTTTGACACCAATATTGAATCCATCACATAGAGAACTTGAACGTACAAATGACTAACTTAACCAGGGAAGGGAAATTCCAGGAGGAAGCTGTCCCAGCAATAATTAAGTTTTCTAGTTAATTTATCATATACGCAAAGATATGAGGCAGTAAATAATTGTCCACACTTTCCCCCAAATCCCCCACGACTCAGTGATAGATTATAAAAAATGAAGACTAAGAAACTCCCTCTGTCCCCCAAAGGTTGGCATTAAAACTTTCTTTCTAATAAATTTAGATTTGTTTCCAAATATTAGGCAGCAACATTCCAAGTTGAATATATTTGAAAAAATTTGGAATGATAGAGCAGGGAGCCACCCCAGCCTGCATAAGTTAAAAATAAAATTCCTTTGGTGACAGTATTTTGTTAATCTTGGTGTTTATTGGCCCAAAATACATTCATTTTCAATATAAACAAAAAACTTTACATCTATATTGATGAGAATACTCAAAAATAACGTCTACAACAAAAAATTAGAAGCTACAGAAAGTGATACCCTTAATTGTGATGGACTAGACACTTCGCATGAAATCTCTATTGTCCTACTATCAGCCTAACAACATAATTTGTGAAACAATGGGTGGTAACTATTTTACTACATTCTATTTATTTTTCATAGCATTATGTTGCATGCAATCCAACCTTAACCAGCAGAGGGAAATATTAGTTAGTTTTCCAAGATTTCCATAGTAGAGTAGGTGTAAGGTGCCAAGGAACTGTACTTACTTTTGGTGTTGGGCAGGAAGCTGTAGAAAGGCGAGATGTAGCCTGAGCACGAGGCGATTCTGAAGGAGTAGTGCTAAGGGAGGCTGTGTCTCGTGGGAGCACCTGAACGCCACGAGAGATGATGGAGTCTGGAATCTGAATAAGGGAAACAACTGCGGTATAATATTCTGAAAATGCCAACATATAAAATCAATACTCATGCCTAACTTTTTTTTGGCATTCTTTGCTGTTCAGCTCTCACATATTTGGTGTCACTTACTGTTAGGTATAAATGTATGCAACAGTTTGGGGTAGGGTGGAAACTTTCAGATTTAAAATATTTTCCCTGGCAAATATTTCACAAAACTTTTTTTTTTACATGAGAGGCAGTATAGCACTGTGGTTAGGCATAGAGTGTTTGGCATTCATATATTGACTCTGCCATTTAATAGTTTGAAATCTTGAGCAAGTTATTTAATTCCTAGATACTTTTCATTTCCTTTTCAGATTCATTCTCCAACCTTCCTCACCCTCTCTGCTCTAAGCTGACCTGTATGGACAATATTAACAAGCTATTTTGCATTCTCTGGCTTCCAGTTGGGTTCATTCAGTGGGAGGCACTGGCAGGAGACTGAAGGTTGTAGAAAGTAGGGTCTGGTATTTATTCCCCTGGCTCTCTCACTACCAGTCACCACAGGCTGACGGTGTCCTTCAATTCCAGATCACAGCTATTGTCATACTGCTGGTTCCTGCCTACAGCTCTTTCTCTGGATTCCAATAGCATTCCTCTTTGCCCCATTAGGACTAGGAGTATCAATGGTTCCCAGTGTTACTAATTACAGGATACTCCATGACGTCTTGCTGCTTTCCCTAAAATCTGCCCAAAACTTTGTAAATGCTATAGGTCCTTATTAAACTTTCCTCAACTACGTAATTAAGTACACTATCCCACAAAAGAGGTGTTGGGGTGCTCTGCAGCTGAAGTGGTTGACACCGGGAAAAGTTGTTGGGGCTGTGGGTAGGACCTTATGCTCCCAAGAGAGATGCTGGGGTGCTGTGCAGTTTCACTGTTGAAGTGGACTGCTCTCAGGTCACTGGGTTTGTGAGTGGGATGCTGTACTCTGCAGATGGACATTAGTTTGCTCTGCAGCACCACTGTTGGAGTGGGCCACCCTGGGCAAGGTGGGAGCAGTTTTGGGTGGGACCATTTGCCCCCAAGAAGGGTGCTGGCACCCTCTGTAGCTGTTTAGCTGGAGTGGCCACTCTTTGGTGAGGCTGTTATTGTCATGACGAGGACCCTGTGCCCCCAAGAGAGATGTTGGGTCTCTCTACAGCACTGGCGACTCTGAGTAAGGTTGCTGTGGTTGTGTGCAGGACCCTGTACCCCCAAGAGAGATGCTAGGGTTCTCTGCAGTTGCTTGACTAAAGTGGGCCACTCTGGGTGAGGCTGCTGCAGTTGTGGGCAGGTCCCCATGACCCCAAGAGAGGCACTGGGTCACTCTGGAGCTCCTCAGCTGGGGTAGGCTGCTCAATGCAAGGCTGCTGGGTCTGTTGGAAGGCTGCTGTGCCCCCAAGGGAGATACTGGGTCTCTCTGCAACCCTCCTACAGGGGTTGGCAGCTGTAGGTGGGATTACAGATGTTGTAGGTAGTGGTTTCTGCTCCTGAGAGAGGCCAGCGGTATCTCCACAGCCTCCCCAAGACTGTGGGTCTGCTTAAGCCAAGTGATGACTCAGCATGGCTGTGAGAGTTGTAATGGTGCTTCGCTAAAGAAAGCAGGGCCAGTGGCAGTAGGCCCTGATTGGTCGGCTCTTCAGCACTGGGGAGTGCACGCCCCTATGCCCTTAAGAGAGATTCTGGGTCCCTCTGCAGCCCCCTTGCTGGGGTGGGCAGCCCTGGGTGGGCTCACTGGTGCTGCTCTGGTCTGTGTTCCCTGAGGGAGGTGTGCAGGTCCTCCAACGCCTCCCTGCTGTGGTGCACAGGTCAATGCATGTCTACTAGGGCCACAGAGGGTCTCCTCACAGCTGTGAGAATTGCAAGGGCACTTCACCAAAGAGGGTGATGCTGCCAGTAGAGGCCAAAGGTGCCAATTGTTTGGCCTTCTGGCTATAGAAAATACATGCACAGATCCATTCTGTTCTGAGGGTGGCCCCCTCGCTGCATTAGACTGCCTGTTCCTGGGGCACAGGGCACTGCATGGACTCAGGTGTAGTCAACCTGGTGCAGTGATGGGTCCTCACGGTTGTCAAACCACTGGGGCCATTGGGCCCCAAAGCAAAATGTGCTTAGGTATTGGGTCTGATCCCAAAGTGGCCACTGCTGCAGCTACCTGGGCCCTGGGGGGTAGTGGCAGCTCAGTGTGAACTCCTTCTCCAGATCAATGCAGCTGTATGGGCTCCCAGCAATTCTCACACTGGGTGCAGCCTGCAAGAGCACTGCAATTCCTCTGTGGTTTGGACCACTGACCCAAGGTACTGTGCTTGCTCACCTATCTTCTGTAGGCAAAAATTATTCTGGGTTCTTCCTGTTCCCAGTTGCGGGATGGGGTGGTGGAGGCCAGAAATTTTCTTCTATTCTCTATGTGGCTATCCTGCTTCTGCACTGACCAGCTTCGCTGCTAGTCCTGTGATGTGTGCCAGCTTTGTTCGTTATTTTTGTCCATATATAGTTGCGTATTTTAAGCATTTTCTGTCTGTACAAGAGACGAGCTCTGGATCCTTCTAACTGGCCTTCTTGCTCTCTTTTTACAGTTCCTCTTATTCTACCACTTAATCCTACCTAGTATTGTCAGTATTACTAATTTTTAAAAATCTGTTGAGCATGTAACAATATCTCATGTGGTTTTGTTTTCTCTTTTCCTCATTGTTTATGAGAGTGAATACCTTTTCATACATTTATCAGCCACTTAGACTTTCTCTTTTGAGAAATCCCTCTTCAAATCTTTTGCCCAATTTTTCCATTATTGGGGTTGTTCTTTTCTTATTGAATTGTTAGATTTCTGTATCTATTCTGGACAACTAGTCCTTTACCAGTTGTCCAAGGTATAAATACTTATTCTTACTTTGCAGCTTGTCTTTCACTTTACTTCATTGTGTCTTTTTAAAACAGAACCTTTTAATTTTAATGTAGTTAAATCTATCAATATTTTCCTTTATGGTTAGTGGTTTCTGTGTTGTAAAGTGAATCTTTCCTGAATGACATCAGTGAAAATGTCAGAATAAGGAACTACAAAATTCTCTCTCTCCACTAAAGCAGGAGAACTGAAAAGAAAGGAGGAAAGAAACTGTCAGAATCAACTTCACCAGAACTGTAGAAACTAATCGAAAGTTTGTAATAGCTAAGAGAATGCTTGCTCAAGAAAAACAAAAAAGGTGACCCTGAAGACAACAGCCTACATTCCCAGCACAGATTTGTAGTACTGGAGGGAGAATAAACCTTACTCTCGAAGAATTGTGGTTGTTCATTTTGACATGTGTGGTGGCTTACCGAAGGGCATACTCAAAGGCTTGCCTTTATTTCACCTAATTTAGAACTCTTCCAGGGTTGAGGCAACTACTCAAGGGGTAGTGTTTACTCATACATTTAAAGGCAAATATATTAGTTACTGTCATCTGGGCATGTGACAATAGGACAAACAAGAGATAAACTGAAAAACTAGGAGGAACGGCTACGGAATGATATGCTTTCAGGCATAAGGGCTTTGAAAAGCTCTCACATATTCCTGGGAATCTAGAAAGTCATACATATGCCCAGGGCTGGGTGCATCCTCAGAAAAGACCTGAAAAGGCCCTATTCTCTCAACTGTGAATAACCTTCAGGCTCTAAACAAGCAGGAAGTAAAGGCCAAGGCAGAGTTGTAAACTACTTGACTGAATGTTGAAGGTGTGATCCAGAATATATGAAGAGCTCATCTGAAAAGAATGCGAGATTTTCTTTTTTTTTTTTTAAGGCATTTAAGGAAATATTTGTTGAATCACTAGCTGACTGCTAAGCTAACAGAACAGAAACTTTGGTGGCTACGTACAAAAAAGAATACAGATTTGATAAAAGTAGCTCAGGAAAGTTATTAAAAAACAACCAAAAAAACCCTACAACAAGCAACAACAAAAAAACCCCAAGGAGGGGTGAGAATTTGATTTCCACAGTTGCCACTTATAATATTTAAAATGTCCAATTTTCAATAAAAAATGATAAAGAATGCAAAGAAACAGGACAGTATGGACCACACACAGGAAAAGGAAAAAAAAAAAAAATAGATATAGAAACTGTCCCAGAGAAAGCTCAGACATTGGGCTTAGGCAAATATTTTAAATCAACTATTTCAAATGTGCTCAAAGAGCAAAAGGAAACCATGAACAAAAAAAATAAAGGCAAGCATGGGAGTGAAGTTTCACCAGCAGGGAATATCAATAAAGAGTTAGAAATCACAAACAGTAACAAACAAAAATTCTAAAGTTGAAAATTATGTCTGAAATAAAAAATTTATTACAAGAGTTCAACAGCAGAATTGAGCAGGTAGAAGAAAATAATGAGTGAAGTTGAAGATAAGTCAACTGAGATTATTCAGTCTGAGGAGCAGAAAGAAAAAAGAAAGAAAAAAAAAAAAACCCAAGAGCTTAAGAAATCGTGGGATACCATTAAGTGTACCAAGATATGCATAATGGTGGTCTCAGAAGGAGAGGAGAGAAAGAGGGAAAGAGATTATTTGAGGAAATAAGCCTGAAAACTTCCCAAATTTGATGAAAGACATAAATGTACATAAGAAGCTCAACAACCAGTAGGATAAACACAAGACAACTGACACCAAGACATATTATAATCAAACTGTCACATGTAATAAAGAGAAAGAGAGAATCCTGATGTTCAGAAAGATTAACTATTAATTTCTCGACAGAAACCATGGAAACCAAAAGGCAGTGGGATGACATATTCAAAATGCTGAAAGAAAAAAAGTCTGTCAACCAAGAATTCTATATCCGCCAAAACTATACTTCAAAAATGAAGAAAAAATTAAGACACTCTATGATAAACAAAAACTGAGAGAGTTCATTGCTAGTGGACCTCACCTACACTAAATGCTAAAGAGAGTCCTTCAGGCTACAATGAAAGGATGGTAATTAGAACTCACATGATGAAATAAAGAATGCTACATAGGTAA